TAGTCATCGTTAGTCAAACAACTGACGAAATCGTTGAGATTCAGTGCCACTATCCTTCATGAGGTAGCTTGTACACGGTGGTGATAATGAACCAGAATTAATTCCGAATAGTACATAGTTTAAATGAGAAAAGAGCCGCAAGTGAGTGAGAAAAAAAGCAACAATGCAATGTGTTAAAGGAAGCACTTTTTGGAACAGCCTGTAGGCAATATCACAGTTTCGCATGTAAAACTCGATGTAATCTACTATTGGAGTTCGACCTTTGACAAAACATGCAAACAAATTTTGCATGTTTTGATGCTACAATCTGTACGTAAAGAAGCAAACTCAATATCAGTCTGATGTGACGGCAATATGAATATTTTTACGTCTTAGTTTTATCGTGAATAACTTTGAAAGATATTTAAACCAGGAAACAATATTTTGACATTACTGTTATTTACAGATACCTACGTCAGCAAGTCGGAGTATAGTGGAAAACAGGTCACCAAATATGACCCAGAGCCTCAAAAGTGATAATATTCTTGCCAAAGCTTCATTATTGCTAACTGTTGACTTTTGTATTTGATTACTATTTTATTGGTTCTTGCTATTCTGTAAGGTTTTTGTTAAATTTTTTTTAGTTCGGTGAGGTGTTAATGAGTATGAAATACGTACCGCTGACTACAGATCACAGCAAAACAGATGACTTCAATCAAATTAACTGCTAACGATTGATACTGACCACGAAAATGCTGGCGCGTCGAATAAATATCCAACTGTTAATTACCAGACCGAACAAAACCGTATTAGATACAATCTGTCGTATCTTGTACACAACCCTCTTGTTCTGGTACCTTCGTGTTTTCAGGACAACGAGCAAGACAATCGTTAGACGTTCCAATGACAAAATCGTTGGCCATCACAGAACATGTGGTGTGCTGATTTGGAATATTAGCCTCGTAATTCTGTGCGGAGAGAGAGAGGGCGAGATAGACGATCCCTCTTCTCGTGGACTTCTCTCATGTTGGTCCCATGATGTCCCTAGCAGGCTTCGCTGCGCTAGAAACGTCACATCTATGTGAAACACATCACTCGGCGGTGCGAGGAAACCTTACAAAAGCATTCTTTGTTGACTGTGATATAAATTACAGTATAAAAGGTATTTGTATGAAGGTTCTACGATTCTGTTTGCAATTCATATTGTCTTGACAATAATGGAACAAAACTATTGTCACATTAAAGATTTGTTGGTTTCACACCCAAAAGGAGCACCTGTGTGGTCAAACCACAGCATAGCGCTATAGTGAATATTTCTCATTTTGCACTGGACAGTTGTGGGAGAGATTAGGTCCAATATACATATGTGTAGTATTTACAGGAAACGGTCCATTTCAAGGCTTCCAAATACACGAATACGATGTCATTTCGCTATATAGTCCTGAGATAAGAAGTCGAGACCTTAGGAGAATCGAACAACCAATCGTCATATTTTAAAATGTGTTCAATAAAATCCATTTATCGAAAATGTCCGATTCTACACAAGTTGTTCTCATTCCCCTAGTTTCATACCAACGATTTCAGGACGGTCCTTCGAAAACATTCACTTTAGGCTCACTAATAATTAAAGAACCATAGACTAGTACATATGTTGTGTTATCATAAGTCAATAGATGGGTGATTCAATTTTTAATTTCCTAGAAAGTAAATGACATTTTGAAACAATTTGATAATCGGACATATTTAATTGTTATCCAGAAAATTAAAAAAATGACATTACTCTTTTCGGAACATTTTGTTTATGGATATCCTTTGTTCTTGTATCGATTCGGAAAAAGGGCCTTGACGCTCAGAGGACCATTTCGCAAAATGTACTTCAATATTGGACACAATCTCTGTCAACTAGTGACCCTAGATACAGAAAGTAGCGCATACCTTTGCGCCTGTCATTCCACCATTTTATATCCGATGGTGTTGTGGGTGAGTTAGGAACGACTAATCTACAAAAAAACGATGATAATACGAGTAAAACTCTCCATAATGCCTTCGATTGTTATCATTGCTCCTTAATTCCTCAATGCTGCCTTGGACAGCTTTTAGGTGCAATGGCGACATCCGTTCAGGTCGCGCCACTCTCTTTTATCTAGTAACTCTACTGTCAGCTGGCATGAGAGCCGCCTGGCGGCGCCGCGCGGCGTCAACGGGTTGCGTGACGCGCCGCCAGGAGCGCCATTAGCGGCAGCAGCACCGCGGCCGAGGCGGTGGCTGCGTGGGCTGGCGCGCGGGCCTTGGCGGGCGGTTCGCGTTGGCGGGCGCTGCGCGCGTCCACGCGGTTGTCGTCGACGCCGTCCTCGTAGTCGTCGGGGGCGCTGGTGGTGCCGGCCTCGTCGCGTGCCTGCCCGCGCCCGAACGGCTCCTGCGCGTTCGTGCGCAAGAAGAAGGTGCCCCGCGTGCTGCAAGAAGTTGCGTTTACGTTTCGTAAAATTATCAATGTCATATCAGAAATGTAAGTTATTATATTGATATAATAACTTAACTTATATACTTATATATTGATATAATATAATAACTTATATTAATGTCAACTTAATAAGTTAACATTGATATAATATCAGTTATTGAGATTTTGATGTAAAAAGCATAAATGTATACCATATTACTTTCCCGTATACATACGTAGTATAGGGAAAGTGTATAATGCTGCGTGAAAAAAGATAGATTTTCGGCGGAAAAAATCATTGCCGGGCTCTGATAACAAAAAGTGAATAAATCCAGTTGCTAAATTAAGAGAAAACTAGTGGTGCAACAGAATGTTATAGACTTTCCCGTATTCGTTATCTATTTTCTTTGGTCTCGACTAGATATTCTAACTTTCCACATACTCTTGCCTGCTGTCATCTATCTACGCCCAAAATACATTTTTTGGCATTTTTTCTGTTTCTTAAAAGTATAACGAAATTATTATTTTAAGAATATTAAAGACATTGAACCTCGTCCTATATGACAATTTCCTTTCAAAAATTTGGAGCCAGTTTTCAGAAAATAAAGTTTAAGCGCTTCTGTATTTTCGAAATTTGAAACATTTTTTCACAAAAAGTATTTGAGTTTTCGAAAAACTTCACAAATCGTCATTTGGAGCACATTCACTCATAAATGTTGTATTATTCACAAATTGCTGGAAATGTGCATATTAACGACATGAGAGATCTATACAAATAAAATATATTAGCGTAATTTTTTAAAAACCAAATACCCTTAATGGACTTTAAGACATATTAAAGACTGCAATTAGTACTATCCTTTCGAAGAATTTGAAGAGAAAATTTGGAACCGTTTTTTAAGAAAATGGCATTTAAACGTTTCTAAAAAAGCGAAATTTTGATCTAGTTTCCACAGAAAATGGTTGAGTTTTCGAGAAACTTTATCTGACATTATTTAAAGCACATGTACTCATAAATATAATAATGTGGCCAAATCGCCGCTAATATAAATATTAACGACGTGCGAGAAAAGTCAAAAACTAAAAACAAAAGAATTGAGCAATATGGCGTTTATGTCATTTTATAGAGTGTATTTAGCACTATCCCTCTCATAAGTTTAAAGAAAAAATTGGAGCCGTTTTTGAGAAAATCTAGTTTTGTAATATTTTAAAATTGAGCACACTGCTTGCAATATTGCGCGAAAACTATTTAAATTTTCAAAAACATGTACGTGGCCGTAATGAAAGAACACACTAGGGAAAACAAATTTCATTTGAAGAAAAAATCTTTGTCTTCAGTTTTGTGCTTGTAGGAAGAGGCCGCCAAAAATGCATACTTTTGAAATTTTCGAAAAATCAGAGTTAACCATGAAAATCGAACCTATCTCACCTTTACATGTGTATTTTACTCTTTTTGCAAGAAATTTAATGAAAAAAATTGGAACAGTTTTTGAGAAAATTTAATAATGTCCGTGGGATTTCATGTAAAGTACCACCAAAAATTATTGAATGTTTTTCACAATCGCAATGGATAGACTCAAGTCATTACATAACTTTGCCTATTCTAAGTATATTACTCCGTATATACATATGAACGTAAGTAAAATTCCTCTAACATTTGGTGTAGCCAGCTGTTTTGTCAAAATCAATTGACGGGAAAACCTCCGTCTGTGAACACTACTAGCACCTAAACCATGCGTTGGATTTTTTCCAAAATTGATGATACTCCTGGCTAGAGTCGAAGCTTTGAGATTTTGAAAAACATTCTTCAAAATTTGGTGGTACTTTCCATCAAGACCTCCGGACTTTTTCAAAATTTTCTCAAAAACAGACCCAACTTTTTTTTTAATTTCTTGTAAGAATAGAGTAACATACACGTATAAAACTGGCATAGATCAGACTTTTATAATTAACTTTGAATTTTTGATAATTTCAAATGTATGATTTTTTTCGGCGTCTACCTACAACTACATAATTGAAGGTAAAGGATTTTCTTTCAAATTAAATTTGTTGTCCATAATTATTCTTTCACTAAGGTCATGTATATTTTTTTGAAACTTTTAGTAATTTTCGCGCAATATTGCGTGCAATATTTGCAATTTTTTAAAAAAAATAGAAGAACACGATTGTCTGAAAAACTGTTCCAATTTTTCTTTAAACTTCCTTCTTGATTTAAACGCACTGACTGTAGTGCCTTCTAGTGATGAGAATTAGAATGAAGAAAAATTATTTTCTTCCCTTACTTTATTTTGGGGGGTAAGCTGAAAACAGTTCATTAATGTTGGCATTGCAGTAATGTGAGATAAACCTGTACTTGTGTTGTACCTATACTTACCTCAACTGGTTTCTGTTATCAGGTCCCAAACACGTTCAGGGGTTAGAATATCGACTGATCTTTAATGAGTCGGGGATCTGACGGCTATCAATGATTTTGTCATTTACAAGTCGCCCCTTCCAGAAGAGAATCGATGTTTGTTAAAATATTAATAATAAATAAAACTATTAAAAATGTCAAGGAATTAATTTGTACTGACAGAGGCATTCTAATCTGCCATTGGTTTTAACAGAACGAATTTAGTAGCGCAAGAATTTTGAGAAATCTCTGACACATGGTAATTTAATACAATCATGTGTATTTTTTCTGTTGAATTTTATATATTGCTGAATATCTTGAAATCTTACAATAATAGTAATTGTTTTAGTTAATAATTAATATTAATAATCGTTAATAATTTTTATTTCAATAATACGTTATAACTCGAAAGTGGAAACTGTACGACAGAACACTTTTTTAAACATCAATTTTGTATGACGCATTCAATTCTTGTGTTAATAGAAAAAATGAAACAGAACATAAAAAGTATTTTGTTTCAAACAACAGATAAATAATCCGAGTTTCATTACAATAATTTGTTACAAACGTTGCGTTGTCTTGTTTATGTATATTCTATGTTACGGGTAGTTTATTGACTTATTGAGGTTTAGGGGCCCTTAAACTTCTGAGGGCATTGACACCTGTGAGTAGCTAATGAAGACGAGGTAAATAACGATGGTGAAATAGTGGAAAGTCAGGCTGGGGTAACGAGGGAATTTCCAGAAAATCTCTCGGGAGCACTAGAAATTTAACGTAGAATAGCAGGAGATCGAGGATCAGCTTTGGAGGTGGAAGGCGTTTAATGTCTTGAACAGTAACACTCTCGCAGTACAAAGCGGCATAATATGAAATAAAACCAAGTTCGTAATGTTGGGAGTGAGGGATAATACTATCGGCTTTTCACGATATTCCTGATTAAGTCGCTTTCATTAACTATTACATTTTCTCATTTCTTTTTATCAAGTATAAATAGTTTTGAATTCATTATCAAAAAGTAACCAAATATTATTGTATTAATAAGATAATAATTTAACAATGCAACGTTATTTCACGATTACACTTTTTTTTTCTGAGGGTATTGACATATCAACAGACATGTTGAAAGGAGAGGCCTCCGTTTCAATAATTCAGCAGTCATCAAGCATATGAAGTGTAAATCGAGGAGGCGATACACTATTAAAATTTGACACGTGATATGTGCACTGAGTAAGAACCTTATCTCTCGGTACCCATTGGCTGCATTTATTTATGAAATATCCGAATTAAAATCATTGTTAATGCAACTTTACCTTGTTCTTTACTGTGTTATTAAGACTGTGGTGACACATTATTGCCCTAACTTATTTATTTGGTTCATACATTTAAACGTTGCGGCTTTTTAGAAGTCTTTAGTACAGGTTCTGAAAAATATTTTATTTCATACCCGTTCAGCCAGTCATACTTTTACCATTCGCAGTGGTGCAAATTTATTTGTTGACCATCAAACGGGAGTAGCGCGGCTCTCGTGAATAAAACTAGTCTGTGCGCACTTTTTTTCATGTAACAGTGTTTGCTCCGTGAAGCAGAGCGAAAAGTCAACATTATGAGTACGCGACAATCAGATTTTACAATAGAATGACTTGCATTACTGGTACCGCCATTATTTTTTCTATACACAATAAGTGTTCCAGCAGAGGTTTTTCATTTCTATTTTCGCCTGATAATGCTTTTCACAGATTGTTTTATTACAGTAGCAATTTTTTATGTATCTGCACCTGTCATCCATGTTATTGTCAATGCTCTTGTTTTCAATTCTGCAGTCTCGTTACAATCAGAAAATTTGGAACAATTTATTTAATTTATTGGCACAATTAGATAAGAAAATGCTCAATACTACTTCCGGAACTATCTAATATTTTACAATGTGGCTAAATACAGACTTTTTACCAACATTCAGTTAACTTTCCATTTATCTTTTAATATTATAAACACATGGTGACAAAGACTCTGTGAATCTCACTCTTCCACGTGCCGAAAATAGAACACAACTTTCTTCAGAATTATGGACATAGTTCTTACAAAGGAACTAATTATTGAATAAATTGCCAATACTTATTCGCATTGTCTTTTTTTTCTCATATTACTCCAGGTCTTCGAAAGTAATTCTAGTTTATGTACAGTATAATCATTCTCTCATACGTGATCATTTCAAAGAATGTGTCATGATTTATAGTTAATTTTTCCATTACGTTCACATCTGCGAAATCATAAGACATTCATTAAAATGTCAACGCCTTCCGCAACAACAAGGTACATGCTTTACAACTCATTTTAATAAATTCTGTAATATTATATTTCTAATACTATAATTTTTACAAAGAAAATACCCACATTTGTGATGGATGTCAGCCTATTTTTAATGGTCTACCGTTATTGCTAGGTGTATTAAGGCAGTATTTTTGTTCATTTACTAGTTGGAATTTGAATTATTAAGAATTTCTGTTGGATATAATTGCCACTTTAAATATAACTTAATCCATTAGAATCAAAATAAAGAATGCGCGCTTTATCAATATTCATTCAACTTTTAAAATAGTAAAACTTGATGTACAATTGACATATGTGTACATAAATGCTATTCCGTAGTAATAATCTTCAATATTTCCTTTGCGTTGACTTGCATAATATCATGTTTTGGACTCGTAAATTTTTGGCGCCCGTAAGTCAATGGATTCTGTGTATTCGGCAGTGTTGCACCTTAGGAATGGAGGCCAACATTAAGTTTTCGCCTGAAGAAAGTTGCAGTAGAATGGGGGGCAAGGTTGGCAGCCTGTCTAAGGCACAGCTTCTCCCAGTCTTCCAATTTTATACGACTTCTACTAAGTTTTGTTTGATGTTAGATATAAAGAGGCAATAACTTACGCAATGTTCGTATTTTTAATATTGGAGAATTATTTTTCAATACATAACCCTCGGGATAACATACTACGTATTTTCCCAGAAATATACAGGTGGATAAGAATAAATGTTTCCCAGATCTAAAACGCCCAGGGTGTTCGAAGATGACCTTGAAATAAAGGTAATAAATATCTCGATAGAAAAATCGAGAAATTCCTAAAGTGAAAGTTGATTACTCAGTACAAAAAGTCAATATTGATTTCCCGTCATGTATCCTTTGGCAAAAAGTGATCATCTTCGATCCCGCTGCATGCTCTAGAAGTTTAAAGCATTTATTCTGAATAACCCTTGAGTAATATTACGTGATGCTGTTCGCTCGGCGGAGCGAGGGCGGGGTCTTCCGCAAGTGGGTCGCCGACGCGCCGGACAGTGGTGGCGGCGGCGGCGGTGCTTTGACGAGCGGCTCGCGCCAGCGCCCTCTGACGTCACGCGCCCAGCGACCCCTCCGCCTCTGCCCCCCCCCCGCCCGCGCGCGCAGACGCGTGGGTAATCGCGCGCGGCGCTGGACGCGGCAGCTCCTGCC